TATGTGAGTGTGTGTGTGTGAGTGTATGTGTGTGTATGTGTGTATGTGAGTGTGTCTGTGTGAGTGTGTGTGTGTGAGTGTGTGTGAGTGTATGTGTGTGTGTGTGTGTGTGTGTGTGTGTGTGTGTGTGTCCCGGTCAGCCATCTCCTGTATGTCTCCCTATGATAGGTATAAATCCAAGTGACACTACATGTACTAGCATTTATTCACCATTGATATTTCTCTCCAAACAGTCAAAACAACACAACACCACCATTTATAACATCTGACCAACCTTTGTGGTGGAAAGCGTTGACAATCATTGAAGGCGAGCCTGAAACCAGTGACCCACGCACCATTTGGCTGCGTCTAGGACCATTAAAATTTCGTATTTCAATGAGCTACCTGGTGTGCATTGAGCATCTTATGAAAGGGACAGGACTTCATGACATGCTGTCTGTCGATCTACGCCCCCAATGCTGTCTGAACTGTCAGTGTCGTGTTACATTGAATGCACTGCTTCTTTCAAAGACATTAGACGTTTTGATTCCGGGATATCAAGCATGCACAAGTCAGATTTATGAAGATGAAATACCAAAAGTCGAAGATGTTCAGTCTAGCCATGAAAGCTTCAAGTGAAAATTACTCTCAACCAGATGTTTTTCAAAACGTCGATGCTGCAACACCTCATTCACCGACATCGAATAAAGACTTAGATCTAGAAGTTTTATTAATTTTATACAAGCAAGTTACGGCAAACGAGTAAAGTTGTCTGTCAATGATCTGAAGGGCAATGAATTTCTTCTTGGTCAAGCTAGGAAAGTCGAAGATCACACAAGTACTCTCATCAGTAGAACGAGCAAAGTGTGGCTTCAATATAATAATGGCAATGGTTGACATCTTAAAGATGTTCCTAAAAGCAGAGAGAGCGGTTAACTGGCTTTTACATATTTCTACTGTTCACCAAATGTTACCCTATCTAGGTGCAGGCAGGACACCATTACAATTTATACACACAATTAGCGTTCTTGTACCTCCAGATGATGAACAGGCTAGAAGAGACTCACCCTCATATCTATAAGAGCTTTGTGGACGGCCATCCCGTATTTCGGCGAAGTGATCGTTTTAACTTTAAGACAGGACTTTCCTCAGATTTAGCCATTGAGCAAATATGAATGCAAAGTGTCAAATCAACCGGGGGGCTGACAAGTGGCAGGGGAATCATCAAATCACAGACAGCAACGTGGCTTCTGTCAATGCCAGCTTGGTCAACGCCAGCTTGGTCAATGCCAGCTTGGACAATGCCTTGGTCAATGCCAGCTTGGTCAATGCCAGCTTGGTCAACGCCAGCTTGGTCAATGCCAGCTTGGTCAACGCCAGCTTGGTCA